TAGCATGTGACTCGATGATGGGAGGAACATACTGTGAGATACCTTCTCAGGAAACGGGAGCTAAGAAGATGTCAAAGATGATTTTAACATGGTGTTTCTGTTCTTGGTGTTGTAACAATGTGACTCTTTTAGAACATTTCTTTTGGTGGAATTTCTCATGTCTGCTGGCTTGTTTTCAGAAAAGCAGAAGGATAACACTCCATTCGTGCAATTTTTCACCAGTTAACACAAGAAGTCTCTTGAGTTAGTAAAACCTTGCACCACATGGGTTTTATTATTCTGTGAATGTGTTCATGGAGGATGCCCTGCCCCATTTCAAATGCCAATGCACAGTATTGAGCCTCTCCCACTGCTGTCTTTACAGTCTTCATGCCAACAGCTACCCGCTGATTTCATCAGTCCAGTGGTCGAAAAGTGTGACCTAGCCAGTTGCTCCTGTCGGGAGGAACTTGAAATGTCAAGAAGCCCGCATAGTCTCTTCCCATGCCTATAACTAGTCCTTGTTCAGCCTGCAGGGTACTCAGGGGTGATGTTCACACCAGTGAATTAAACAGCAACAAGATTTTCCATTTCTGGGAGTTGCTGGATTGTCGTGTTGTGTTACCAAAATGGATGGGTTATACAACTATGTTAGCAGAACGGTCCTGCGAATGCCTTTAGCCAGTGACAAGGAGCTATCTCACCAGCTTTTCTTGAGTACTACTTGAAAGTTAGCGCAAGCCAGGGGTCAGTCCCAACAGACAGTTTTGCAAGCAGACGCCCTGCTGTGGAGGCTGAGAGAGTTTAATTAGCATTAGCATAGATGATAACTCTGGGTCAGAGCATAGACTCTGTAACTGTTTTGGGTTTTAGTATCAATTTAACCAGAGAGCTTGGGAAGTATGGCTGTTCTCTGCTGCAGCTCCTGTGCTGCATAATTCCCTTGAGGAAACTATTTGATAATGAAATTTAACATGGCACTGGAGATGCTCTGACTCCTGCTAGGGCTGTGTGGTTTGGCCCAAAGACTAAAGGAGCTGTCACCCTTTGGTGTAAGGGGGAACCTGGTCATACTAAGAAGTGCACATTGTACTGAGTTATTTTAATTTATGAAGATAGTTTCTAGAGTTCATGTCTATCTTCATTGGTATCTGAGTGCGACACCCAGCCTGGAGCACTGCTTTGGTTGCCTGAGATTTTTAAATCTGAACTGATTACTGTCAGTTTTTATTTCCTTTGGTTGCTGAGGCGGAACTAACTGCAAAATGGAGACATTTTGTTACTAATTCACCAAAACGAAGAACTGTGGGCCTTTTCATTACACCACTCAGTGACTCGCTGCATGTTTTGTCCTTGTGTGATTTTTTGGTTCTGAGTACAAGACATCATTTTAATAATGGGAGCTAAGTAAGAGAAAAGACAGTTTTAATAAAACCCCCGCTCTTATTAAAAACTGCTTCAGAAAGCAGTAGAGTGCAATGTTGGAAACTCAATGCAAATTTTCATGGGCAAGACAAAAGATCTGAGTGAAGAGTGTGTTCCTTATTTTCCCTTTAGATAGCTCTTACTTTATTTAAAGCCCTCACTTTGGCTTACAAGGTTTTCAGTGGGACTGAGGCTGCAAACTGTCGTCAGTCTAAATTGCTTCCTCAGAATCAACTCAGTCACCCTCAGGCCATTGACTAGCCTCTGAAACTAAAACCATAGACGGATTTTTTCTCAAGGATTTCTAATTAAACTGAGGTGCTTTCTGCTTTCTTTAAACACCACTCATGAAACTGGGACCCAGACCTGGGATGTTTTCCTTCCGTTAGGTTTCATTCTAGTTCGTGTTTTTCATGTACAGAAGTTGTGTCTTACCTCTGCCAAGGGGGTCCAACCAGCATTGGGCACACAGCCCAGCTTTGCAAAATGCAGCCCTTAAGCTGGAGATGAGAGCTGCTACCTTGCAAGGATGTCATGGGGAAGGACAGCGGTCCCTGGGTCTCAGGAGGAAGGGAGGATCAAGAGCAGGGCTGGTATTCCACCCAAAACAAAGCTCAATTTATCTCTGTGTGGGGCAGTGTTTTCTCCTGCTAGGATGCCAGCTCAGGCTACAGGGGCAGGATATCACCTACCAAACCACAGCTCTCATGGCAGGCAGGGGCTTGCAGCTCTTGCCAAGTTTTGGTTAAATCTGGGAGTTCATGGAGTGGGAGAGAGAGGTGTAGATTCAGCTTAGCAAAGGCATGAAACCATTAAGCATACTCCAAATTGCAGCTTTTGAGTTTCCAGGTTTCTCAGTGTAACACAAATTACAAGATACCTCATATTTTGTAATAGAGGACAAAAGTCTCTGACAGAAGACATTTTGTCTCGAGCAACTGCTGAGAAGGAGGCTTTCAATTATCAGCAGCAATGGTAAGATGACTAATTTTCATAAACATTTATCAGAAACCCCCCATACATTCCACGTGACTTTTACTGAATATAAAACTTTATAATTTTGAGGAACAGGAACACACACATACACACACAGAGATTTTTACATCAGCTGCTATATTTTGAAGGCTCTTTGAAATTAATATATACGTTAACAATTTATTTGTAAAGTACTACAACACTCAGTAGAGGTTGCATGCAATAACTTTGCAGAGAAAAGACTGCAGAAATTTCATACAAAAAATAGGAAGTTGCAGCCTTGATGTAAAAACCTCTTAGCTTTAACCTTGGAACTGAGACCATGCTGCTGTTTGTTTGTCAGAAGATTTTGTGGTGATTCGTAGTTGCTTTCCACTCTTAGCAGCCCAAGTTGCACAAAACATGTGAAAACAGCATAAAGCGAGGATGTCAAAACTTGGCTGTCTTTTATATCATGGCCATTACAAGAGATAATGTAAAGGAACTTAAAATGAGTGTATGTATCATAGTTTCTAAGTGCTTTATTCTGACCATAATGGATTAAAATGGCCACCTCGTAAAGAAAAATTAAGCCCCCAAAGCAAACCTTAGGGATTTAAATTTTATGTGTACATACATATACACACACGTAACATAAATATATTTTGGCACTTAGTGCTGGCTTTCTCCCGTTCAGTAAGAAAATGAATGCTTAGGAAATGCATATTAAGAGTACACCTCCGTAGTCTCCAAATAGTAAGGTCCTTGGTAAATATAGATATGAACAAACCAGTTTTATGACTATTAATATTTATTGGGTACATGTATGTTTTACAAAGTAAGCAAACATTCTTAACACAACAAGAAATACATTTTTAGAGATTTTTCCTACTGTGAACATTAGCTTATGATGCCACGTATCTCTTAGAACTCCTGCACTTACTCCAGAAGAACAACATTATCTGATTACCTGGTGGGTAGGATTTCATTTGAAGGCATGCCAGAATTTTTCTAAAATGCTTATTAAAAATAACATGGTCTCAGGTTTTGAAAACCTATGTGGTGCAAACCTGACCCAAGTTCACAAAGAAACAATAAAACTCATTGGACAACAGTTCATTAAAGCTAAAGTTTTCAGTGGTTAATGCATAAAACTAAAAAATCACAAGTCACAATCATCAAGTATCAACATGCATTTTTCATTGTAAGACATGGTTTACATCCACTAGGAATGTGTACAAGGACATACAAATTCATAGGGCAGATTTTGATTCATTTGCTCTATTGTCATGCTATTGATATCTCTATCCAGTATAAAAGAATTTCAAATACATGTTTTCCTAACCCGATCTGCTTGTTATACATTACTGGCAGGTAATGCCTGGTTAAAATGTAATTTATATTTTGTTAGCTTGTGTTTGGAGAGCCAGAATGTGCAGAAGATACATTCAAACTTCACTATTGTCTTAGTATATTGAGTGCTGGTTCTGATGAAAAGAACATAGCAAGACAGAATTTCAGGTACTCACATTTTGAAAAGCTGATGGCAAATATTAATGCTGAAGAATGGCCCATTTCACTGTGACCAGAACTTCTGAGCCAGCCAGCGTTTGCTTAAATATTGAACTAGGTTAGCTGCTGCTTTGCTAGACTGCAATGTCTTTTCCTGAAATACGGGTTCTTGGAAGGCTGCTAGGAAAACTGTATCAACAACTTCACTGTTAAGTAAATATGCAATATTAAAAGGTACATCATTTTGAAAGAGCTCCAAACTCTACAAAGTGTGTGTTTCTCTGTGCTGTAGGCATATCCTAACTTCTCCAGGATATATGCCTCTGCTTTGACACTTTACATTCAGTTACATCAAGTTTTAATGATTTGAAAGCTAGGAAGAAACATTACTGTTCCCCTGTCTGATCCCCTTACACTGCAGGCTAAATTACCTTAGTTTCAAGCTGCTACTAAGGCAAGAATTACTACCACTCTTTTTTAAGAGAGAGTGAGCATAAATATATACTAAAGATCTATGAAAAATGACACCAGATACATCTTCAGAGGTTTGAGATGGTAATGCAATAAACCTGAATCCTTGACATCTTTATTTTCACATTTTTTTCTTCTATTTGTGAAGTTCATTCTAGTCCAGTAAAAACTTCTTCCTTTAAATCTGGTCTCAGCTGAGCCTACTTATAATTCATCCAGACCTGGTTCCATGACGCAAACTTAAATGAACATGTACTAAGAACTGAATAAATGAACAGAAAAACCTGAATCAGTTGTTCAGTTCCTGACATACACCTAAGTATATTTACAGACCAAATTGGCTTTACTGCGCAAACCGCTCTCTAAATTGTTTTAACTGCTTTTCCTTTGTTTTTCAGTCACTCTGGAGAAAAAGGCAATAGCAACATATAACAATTCACTAGATACAACCCAGATGACAATACATCTTCTGTGAATCTTTGTGTCAGCTACCCCACATATTCAGCTCATCTCTGACACACAAACAGCAATGCATTGCAGCAAAACAAGCCTTCTCGATCTTTCAATGTTGTGATGCTATTCCACAGTCCAGAGAAAAATACCAGTTCGAAAAAAGAAGGTTCCTCAGCTAAAGATCTATTGGGTTATTTATTTTTTTTTTACTTGGTTTCAAAAAGAAGAAACCCAGCAAAGGTGGAGAAGCGTTGATGGTCCCCATGGAGGGCTCCGTTTCCCATTCGCAGCCAAACTTCATCTCCCTTAGCAAGCTTTAGGACTGCACTGTTTCCTGAAGTGTCTGCTTTCCCTTTTGATTCATAGCTAAGGATGAATATTTTAACAAGTCAGCTTTTTGTTTCTCAACAATGATCAAGCAAACAACTTTAAAAAAAAAAAAAAGAATCCAAGAAAGCACATTGTTCTGAGCTTGTCCTGAGTAAAACTTCCTTGAAAGACTTGCCAACATCTTTTCAGCTTTATGAGGAAATTTTGGCATCTTTCTGCCTTTGATCTCCTAGTCAAATTTTCCACGTTACCTAATTGCATCATTTCATCCCTTTCTGAAATTCTGGATGTTTAGCTTACATATATTTTCCAGGGCACAGGAACAAATTTGTTGTTTAAAATAAAACTCTGCTCATTCATCACAACACTCCAGATTTCCTGTGATGCTTTTTTTCCCTTGGTTTAATCTCAGCGAATTTTAAATGCCTTCATGTCAGGAGTCTCATGTGACCTGAGCCTCTGTGCTCCTGGCACAGGCAGTGGGCAGAGCACACTCCATCCTGAGACCTTTTGTTGGAATGTAGATACATTCAATATGGGACAACCTGCTGGCTTTGCAGGAGTGTTGGTTCCCTTTCTTCCACCTGCTGCCTCTTCTGATGTCAGTTTGTCAGGGGAAAAAATTGGGCACCTTTTCTTTTGCAGGAAAGGTCTGCTGGGGATGAAACACCCTTTGGCGGTGCCTCAGGGACAGGCTGTTGAAGAAACCTGGACAGCTTAAATGAACCTGCTGTCATCTAGGTGCCTAAAATCCAGTGTAGTCAATCTAAGATTTTGTGTCTGTTTATTCAGGCTCAGGACAGAAGCTTGGTTTTGGCATCAGACCCCTGCTTAGTATTAAAGAAATAATATTTTTTCAAACATACTTTTTTCAGATATCCATCCATCTGGCTACAAGCTTCTTGACCTGATCCTTACAGAAGCTGATAAGCTATAAGCGGATCCTATTCTTGATGATCCTCCAGCTAACACAAAGAGTTCAGAAACCTTTTATTCAAAGCGTGTTAATGATAACAAAGCCAGTAAATGGAGGACCTTTGCTTCTTACTCATCCTTACTAATGCAGTTTAAATGCTTTCCACCTTTAAACTAAATTGCTCTCTGCTAACCTTTAACGAGACTGTAACTAGTTGCTGAGCACTTCATTATGCCCTTTCTCTGACAGGCAAAGTGAGGATGAAGGTATGTTTTAGTAGAATGACAGCATGTTACCACTGGACTGCAACGCTGACTTGCAGTGCTAATTCTTTTCACCTGAGCTTTGAGGAACTTGTGATCAAGGCTGAATTTTAGGTGCAGGATCTGTGGCTGGTATGATCCACATTTTCAAGTTGAGGAGGGCAAAATACAATGGTTTTTCTTTGTTGGTTATTTTACCTTACATAATTTCTTTGAAGAATGAACAATTTCACGTTTCTTGAAATGTTAGCAAGATATCACATCTCTGCAAGCGTGTCTTTTGCATTAAAATGGCGTGCCCCTTCACTTACCTGTATAAGCTGAAAACTGTATTACCGTTATGCATTAGGTACACGTACACTTCCTCCACATCTTCATGTTTCATCATATTGAAGGTGAAGAAATACACCCCTGAAAAGATTACCAAATATAGCATTTGCTTCATAGAGGGAGGTAGTCATGCTAGAGACTTGTGCCTCTTAGTCAGAAAACATAACAGCTGAGGCCAAAATTAACTTCTAGATGTCAGTGGGTATTTTGCTTCTGCTTATAGTATGCCAAAATCTGATTGACTTTTATGCTGCATATGGCAGGTGTTCAGCCACATCCTGTTCCAGAGCAATGACTGTATTTGAACATGGCAGGACCACTAATCCCTTCCTTCTTACTAAAAGGGAGATTTCCCAGAGGCTGAGTCTAGTGACCCCTCTCTCTCACCTTTTTTCCTTACCTTCTTGCTCCTGCCCTCTACCAGAAGAGCAGCCTCCAGACCAGCTTGGCCTCAGAGGCAGTCAGACAGACAGCCAGCATGTCACCCAGGTCAGGCAGGGCATGAGTGGTTTTAGCAGCACCCACTGCTGCTCACCTGGCCATATCGCATCCTGAACAATACGATGTGGCCACCACTTTCTCTTCTTGCACAACACACCCTGAACATCACCCGTTTTCTTTTTAGCTCTTTCTCTGTCTGAAAGGTGCCACCAGTGTTGCCAGTGCAACCATGTTATGTGTCATGAGCTCTACAAGGCTCCCCCAGGTGGGAAGACAAGCTCCTGCTTCCTGAACAGTAAGTCTGTTGACCGTGCAATGGGAGCTTGGAGTTTGCATCAAAGTCATTAAATGATTGTGGGTACCAGTTTATCAACTTCCAAATATACAGTAACCTCAAAAGGAAGCAGCTGTGAGGACACATACCCCTGTCAGTAAGATGTGCTACAGCAAGCTTGGAGCACCTGACTCTTATTTAATCTAATATAATTTACCATAGCAGTGAGTATATGAATGGCAGGGTGTGAAAGGCCAAGTGAAGGAAGGTAGTTTCAGGCTTTGTGTAGACATGTTTTTTGTTATAGTCCTGCCTTCTCTGTCTCCCATTGCTCTTCCTGCGCCACAGCAGTATAAGAGGAGGGGTTGATGTAGCTGAAAAATAACTGAAGGAAAACTGTAATGCCTCATTTCCAGCCACACATCTGCTACAGGCCAGCTGGCAGATGAACTGGCATGAAAGAAGAAACAAGAGCTATGCAGAGTGAGTGTCATCAATGCCTTGTGCAAAGGCAGTTAACAAGTTTCTTGTCATTATTGACCACGCTTCTCCCTGTAGCTCCCAGAATTGCATTATTTTGTTTTGCAAACACTCACCATTCACTGGAGCACCAAATCTCCCAGTCATGACATCAAAAAAATTCCCAACGTTGGTTTCGACACTACTGAAGATGATCCCGCTGTTCTGGTTGCTGAAGTGAGTAGCCATGGAAGCCATGAACGCGACCTGCAAAAATGCCATTCTTATTCAGGCAGTTGTTCAAAAAATGCAGGTGTGCAGAGGAATCGGCTACAGGATTTTTTCCTGCACTTGCTGTCTGTTTGTTTTCCTGACAGAGATGTTCCTCTAGGGCCTGCTCCAAGGCCATTAAACTCCAGTAACAAAACTCCCATTGAACGAAACTGGAAGAGGACTAGGCTTCTTACATTCAATTGGACTATTCATGACTGTAAAAGTAAGTGTATGGGCAAGCATTTGCAGGGTCAGGACCTTCGTTTGTGATTTTACTTATTTTTAAGTCTCCCTAGAGCAATGCTACAGAAAACTGCTATTGAAATGGATGGTGTTTCCAACAACAGTGATTTAATTATTTTTTATATATTCTCCAGTGCATTTAGACTGGATATCACTTTTAACTGAATGTGTGAAATAAATAAGGCTTGGTAAAATCTGTACACATTAGTATTTCTTGCTAACTGCCTTCAGAGATACATTAAGCATTTTTATTAGAGGTCCTCTAGGGGTGCAGTTGCTGGGACTCACCATTCAGTGCTTCTCTCTTACCAGTTGCCCTGCACCCTCAGTCAAGACAACAGAGGGTGGTGGAGACCAAAAGGGGAAACTAAGAAGGTGAAAACTGTGCCTCAAATTCATGTTACACTTCTTGCAGTGAGACATACTGGCTGTGGAAAATGTTTCTTAGAAAGCAGTGCAAAATCTCCCACACTGGAAAATTCAAACTACCCTCAGCAAGATACCAGGGAACAAGCCTGCCAAATTCCATGGGCAGGGACGGGGGTTATCTCTTCTGTGACTCTATGATCCCTACACTTGACTGTCAGTAAATGGGGTACAGACAGAACGGCTGCACCTTGATGCCAGAAAGCCACATAGTGACTTGGCATTTTATCTCTGTCTCTTAACTTCTTAGATGAGAAGTGTTCGATTACAGTTGTTACTGCCCCTCACAAAAATTACATTTTTCGTGAGATTCCAGCTATACTGGTATTAAAAAAACCACCCCAAACTTCTTTTGATTTCAGATCCAAATGAGAACAAAACCAAAACAGGCAAAATCAAATGCAAGTCTGGATCCAACAATGGAAATCATTAGCCATCTGCTCAGAAATTTGAGGAGCTCCAGATGTGAGCTTGGGCTGATTTTCCTTATCCCTGCGTGAATGCATTTTCTATGATGGTAAATTGTTAGCTTCTTGCTTCTCAGCCAGGATCACATCAAAGTTCAACATGTATTAAAGGAAAGCAGCTGCAATTGCAGCTTGCTGGAATTTATTGCTTTTTGTCTAGGTTCCATTTCATATTCTCTTTGACCCCAAGCTACTTTTCTTGGGCTGATCAGAAAAGTTGAAAAAGATGTCCTTTCTCCCTAGGTCTCATTTTGAAGTAGCAGATCAACGTGGACATGCCAAGTCCTTCAAAATAATCCTGTACTTAAACCAGTATTGTATTCAAAAGTGTTTTCTCCTCTACCGACCCCTGCTCTAGAATTCTTAAGCATGATGTTAACAAGAAATTATATGCTATACTGTGTAAAGAATTTTTAAACACATCTGTTAAAAACCGTGATGGAATTTTACTTCGAAATAAGTATTGCAGTATGAGCTCTTTCATTATTCAGTTTTAATTAAATTACTGCCACTATATTTATGTAAGAAAAAAATGCTGATAGCTTACTTTAAATTTGCAAAAGGATTTTTGTTGAATGTAATTACAATATGTTTTTAAGACACTGTCAATTCCAGTTAATTCTTTAAGAATACTTAAATAATACTGCTTTATTTCAAAAGTCCAGTAATTTTGGAAACTATTTTCATTGTGAATTTTATTCTGTGCAATTATCCCATCCTCATGCAACCTAGGGCGGACAATCCAAACATGCACAATGCCAAGAAATCCAACACCATATTCCCATACTGCACACATTGGTTGTACTGTTGATTTTGCTGTTAAATTGCATGCCTTTTATGAGGATATAAAACATATATGAATGAAAAAAGAGTGTCCTTCAGTGAAAAGGTGTACACCTGTAAACAGATCAGAACTTCAGTTTTCCACACAGCTGCAGTGTTTAGAAGTGGGTTGGTTTTTTTTTTTGCGTGTTTGCTACATCCCAGTTTGTCCCTTCTGTGGTGAACTTGGTTTGGGGGATAAGAATCAGATCAAGACTAAGACACTTCCATTAAAGTGCGTACGTGTGAGTGAGATATAGACTCCCTTGCGGTTTCAGGAGACCTGTGTGCTCTGTGGTGTCTGGTTGCTCCTTTGCCCAAAAGCAGCAGTGACTGTTAGATTAAGCTGAGTTTCTCTTCTAGATCCTCAGTAACTGTAATGGAAGCTTAGATGCGTCACTTACATGTAGGCTGTCTGGAACTGAATCTGACTGCAATCACTTGCCCATGCTCATAGTGCCATCTGAAGTGCTTTAGGATTCTCCCACATGGGGCTGGTTGAAGAAGCCCCTTCCACAGTGGCAGGAAGGATACATCTCAAAGCCTTGCCATGCATCTAAATCTTGCCTTTAGCACCTTGGCTGTGCTACATCACAGAGATAGTCAAGTTTTCCTGCTACTGCAGATGAACTGTTCACGTATTGCTACACTGCAGCATACAGTGTGGACAACTCTTTTAAATCCCCTTTGCAACAGCAACCAAGGATCTTAGTTATCCAAGACCCATTTACTTTTGTATGCCTTAAGAACTGGACTACACCATGTCTCCACTATATATACTTAAGCTTTCCACCTTCTGCCAGATTCCTGGGACATGAAGAAGCTCTAATCCAAAAGGTATGTGACTATGCTAACACGGTGTTGAGCCCAAACAAACATACCCCATCTCTCAGCAGAACTTATCAGCTCAGGCTTGAACCCATGTTTTAACACTCATCTGGCTTTTGGGTAGTTCATACATGCTTCTCCACATATTTGAGGTATCTAGACATATAAAACCGCAGATAGCTACTGAGGCATGTTTTTCAAAACCAGAGGACTTCTGTCTGCACTCAGAGGTTTTGACCCCATACTTTGAGGAGCTGGATACATAGGCTTCTGAGAATCTCACAAAGCCTGACTGACCTGAGAACCATGGGCCTGAGTGACTCCTTTACTCTTTTCATCTGCCATAGAAAGCACAGTTACGTATGTGATACAGCTGGATAGAAAAATTATAGTCCCCACTATTCTCCTTTAATGACCCAGATACTGGCTTTCTGCCCTAAAAGGGAACCATACATGTTTCTTCCTGCCCTTTTCTCAGCTGGATTCTTACTCTAAAGAAAGACTAAGCCCTGATTTCTTTCTTTTCCAGGAAGATCTGTCAGAGCATATTTGTCAGTCACGACAAGGGCTATATATGTCTCTCACTATGTTAATTTACAGGGGAATTTGCTTTTTAAGTATCTTACAGTAGTTAGGTGCTGTTTTTCAGAGAAGAAAACCATAACCTGAGGACTGCTGCAACCAACACAAGCCAGAGATTTTGTACCTGTAGCTCTGGAGGAATCCCAGGGTAACCCTTCTCGCCTTTGGGTCCATGATGGCCTCGCTCTCCCCTTGGTCCCATATCTCCTTTGTCTCCTTTCTCACCTTTGGCTCCTTCCTGGCCAGTTGCTCCATTATTTCCATTGTTTCCATGGTTTCCTTAAAGGAGACAGAACTTTCTATTTAACTTAAATAATCTCATATAATATTATTTTAACATATAACTGTGACAGGGTCCTTTTCCACTGCCTTGCAACACATGGACTTTTCAGTACTGTATAACCCAGCTTGAGCCGTGATAGAGAAGAAACAGCTGTGTGGTTAAGCGGAAGATGAAGGTGTTGATAAGCAAGTTTCCAGAAGGACGTCAGTTGATGTTTAAGAGTTAACTCTCATGCTGTCTTCGTGTTGCTGTATCAACTGCTAATGTCTCCACTCATTGCATTGTTGGGGAAACCTGCAAAGACAACACCTCAGAGAACATGAGGCCCAATGAAAGTGAAAGCCACTGCCTAGTGACGCATACCAGCTGGCCTGTATGAGCAGTCCTGCTTTTTCTTTTGTGTAAAACTTATTTCCTGCTAATTTAGGCTAATTAAGAGAGGATAAGACAATTTTGAATAACGTTTTGCTGTCTTTGAAACATGTCTACACAAGTGAAGTATGGCTGTAGCCTTAAACTAGCTAAATGACCCATCTGATCCAAAAATGGGAGAGTGTGTATTCTCAGGGTGCTGGCTGGCTAGCTTTGATTGATTGCATGTTCCCAGATTTAAAGAAAGACAAAATTTTTATAATTAAGCTTTTCTAAGATTGCTTCTTGCAAAAAGGGTCATTATAAAAACATATTCCTGCATCTACAGTGTTACTTCCTGATATTTACTGAGGAAATTACTGAGCAAACACCTATGCAACTGACAACATTTTAAAGATGGTTAGAATCACTGAGCAATTATTATGCCTACCTGAAGCAAAAGCCTGACCTTTCAATTAATTACTCAGGGGATTAATTAGTGTCATCATTGTTCTAATTCTACCTGATTTGAAATTAGATTCTTTGCCACTGTGCTTGTTCTCTGATTAGTCACTCTGGTTATGAATTTACAGGAAGAATGGTGTGTGAGATCAAATCTAATGATTAAGTGACTCTTCAGAGGCTTTGTATTGAGCAAAATATTTACTTCAAACAAGGAGGCTAAATGGTGGAAGAAATTAGGCAAATTTTTGTTTGGATAGAGAAATCAGTAACTTAGAAACAAGAATGATCCTTCATGCAAAGCCAAAACAACTTCTTTATCAGTTCAGAACAGAAGTTTGCAAGTGACATTTGGTTCAATCAAGGGAAAAGCAGCTGTTGTTCCCCTTACGGGCACAACGATATGAAATGCAGCAGATGAAGGAGACAGAGAAACTGCAGGGTGCAGAAGGTTGCTGTTGACCATATGTTTGTGGCATCCTGCAGTGGCAAGAAAGTGTGACTGAGATACATCCTCATGTGAGGAAAGGGCAAAGCTGGGGCTGGGCTGTGTCCCATTATGTCCACTGCAGCCTTGAAAGTGAGGGTCTAATACAAAATCATGTCCTGCTTCTAAGAAGCCAACAATGTATTAATCATAATTAATATCTCTGCACAAGAAGCTTCACCATTACATTTCTCTTCTGTAATGGTCAATGGTATTTTTGTAAAGGGTTGATGCAGCAGCAGCTCACAGCAGGCTAATACAAAATATGCCTATTACTTTGTTTTGCCAAAGGTCAAGGTAACCATTTATTTCAGGATTTTGCCAACTGAAGACAGTTCTTGAAACACTTCATTCACTCAGATTTAACTTCATAACAGTCAGATTTAACTGTAAACTCTTTCTGCCAAAAATCACTACATTAGTTTTTGTGTGTGTGGTTACCTGTCATGTCTGTTACTGTCAGTACATTTGTGAGACAGAAGGATTATGAAATTGCTTTTTTATTATGATAACATAAGAGGTAATCTTTTGAAGATAAGACAAATCTGTCAGTCAGTGACATGTTTGCATTATATGTCTGCTTTAGGAACGGTGATTTTCAAATCCCTGAAAGCAGCTGCTGTAACAAACTTATACCAACATGCAACTAACTGCCTTTTTCCCTTCTCTAGGTTCTTCTTTTTCCACGCCAATTATCAGATCAAAGTATGCCCTTTTCTTGTGTATCTTGCTCTTCTGTGTGCATTTTAATGGAAAAAAAAAAGAAAGTACTTTTTATTATGGAAGACAAGAAGAAAGAAGGAAAAGAAATTTCTATGAGAGAACAGAAGGACATGTGCCTCTGTGAAATACTGGCTAGCAGTATGCCAGATGAAAAAAAGCTCCTGAATACAGTACACAATAGCATAGCTGGATATTCAAGGTGACTGCAATAATCAACTCCAGGGAACCAGTTTGTTCAACTTTAATGGAAGCTTCATGCTGCTTTAAGAAGAGAAACCAATTTGCCCTGGAAATGCAATGAGATTACTTTCAGTATGAATATGTGAGAGACGAATTTTAATAACAAATGGGTTTTCACTAGAAAAGACTTGAGTCTAATTGAAAATCTATGTCTCCCCAGAAATTACAGAAAAACTTTTTCCTGAATCTGTCCCCAAATACTGATGTTTGGACCATTCTCTGCTATTTCATAGAATAGCCGGTAATTTATAGCCTGTAATTAGACTGATCAAAAAAATGAATGAGACTTCATCTTTACCTGGCATCCCAGGAGGCCCAGGAGGTCCTGGGGGCCCTTGGTAGAGTCGAACTCCAAAGTCACCACGGCAGCAGGAGCTACAGTCTGGATTCTGTGGTCCAGTTTGTGGGGGCTAAATGCAGAAAAATACATTTTAAATAGCTCATTCATGCAGGGCATCAATCATATGCATGTTGGTTACAGGGTCTTCATTATATATTCTCTGTTTATACATTTGGCAAGTTTTCAAAACACTTCTTATCTGGGCTGAAATCTCCCATTCTTGGGTCGTCCCTAAAGATGTTATTTTTGGAAGATTTAAGGAATAGCTCTTCAAGTGTTCTAAGAGCTATATAAATATTAAAAAAATAACTCATCCTGTCAAATAATGAGGGTTTCGAAAATAAAATAATACCAAGTAATGAAAGTTAGTTGCGTTCCTATCCCGCTTTTTGCTGATCCCACATTTCGGCTGACCTTTGTTGACAAACAAGCCTATGTACTACAAGTGGTAAGACACACAAGGGACTTCATTTGACCTTCAGCAATGAACTATCCTCCATGAAACAAAGAAAACTGTGTTGGACTGCCTGAAGGAGATGTTAGAAAATGTGCGTGCAGCATATTCCTGTTCATGGCCACAGATGTGCATATTTACAGGCTGCTAAAGCTGTGAGAGCCTAAAAGAATGCCAAGATAGGTGATAAAAATTTGAACTGACCACAACACCTGGTGTTAGGGGCATTTGATTATTTGTAGTTGTGGGTGTGTAGCTATGAAAACCTGTTTATATGCTGAAACTAATATAGCAGCATAAATAAACTAATGAGTTTATTATACACAGCTCAGCTACTGCGATAATAGTTTGATAATAGTTTGATAATAGTTTGATAATAGTTTTGTTTCAGTGCTTTTCTTTCCCATGTTATTGTATTTATAATAATGGAGTCTAATTTGATCCTGGCTGGATTTCATAACTAGGCTTTTGCAATAATTTAGCGGTCACAAATCTTCCAATGGGTCAGTTGAGGTAGAGGTCCAGGGCTTGATTTTGTTTCTCTACCTCCTTCTCATTTTTCCCTCTTTGTTTCTTT